CTTTTAATTTCATGGCTGCAGTCACCATCTGCAGTGATTTTGGAGCCCCCAAAAATAAAGTCTGACACTGTTTCCACTGTCTCCCCATCTATTTCCCATGAGGTGATGGGACCAGATGCCATGATCTTAGTTTTCTGAATGTTGAGCTTTAAGCCAACTTTTTCACTCTCCTCTTTCACTTTCATCAAGAGGCTTTTTAGTTCCTCTTCACTTTCTGCCATAAGGGTGGTGTCATCTGCATATCTGAGGTTATTGATATTTCTCCCGGCAATCTTGATTCCAGCTTGTGCTTCTTCCAGCCCAACTCATATACCTATGGTTAATTAGCAGAATATGCAATGGAAAAAAGACAGTCTCTTCAACAAGTTGTGCTGGGAAAGTTGGACAACTACATGTAAAACAATAAGATTAGAGCATTCCCTCACAACATATACAAAAACTCAAAATGGTTTAAAGACCTAAATGTAAGATGTGAAACCATAAAACTCCTAGAAGAGAACATAGGTGGAACAGTCTTGACATAAAGCATAACAATATTTTATTGGATCAGTCTCCTAAGGTAAAAGAAATAAAAGCAAAAATAAAATAATGGACCTAATTTAACTTAAAAGTTTTGCACAGCAAAAGAAGCCATCAACAAAACAAGAAAACCTATCCAATGGGAGAAAATGTTTGCAAATGAGGAACTAACACTTCATCATAAGTACTTAATATCCAAAATGTACAAACAGCTCATTGAACTCAATATAAAAAAAAAATCACAAATGGAATCAAAAAGTGGGCAGAAGACCTAAATAAACATTTTTCCAAAGAAGACAAAAGATGGCTAACAGGCATGTGAAAAGAGACTCAATGTCACTAATTACTAAAGCAATGTAAATCACAACAACAGTGAGGTATCACTCCACATCTGTATGAAGGGCTATCATCAGAAAGTCAAAAAATAACAAATGTTGGCGAGAATATTGAGAAAAGGGAACTTTCATACATTGTTGGTGGGAATGTAAATTAGTGCAGCCATTATGGAAAACAGTGTGAAGTTTCTTTTAAAAAATAAAAATAGAACTATGATTCAGAAATCTGTTGAATTTATATACACTAATAATGAGCTATCAGAGAAATTAAGGGAAAAATCCTATTTACAAAGGCCTCAAAAAGTATAAAATACCTAGGAATAAATTTAACCAAGGAGGTGAAAAAAACTGTACTCTGAAAACTACAAGATACCAAGGAAAGAAATTGAAGATGACAAAAGAAAATCACATGATGCTCATGGATCAGAAGAATGAACATCTTTTAAATGTCCTTACTATCAAAAGCAATCTACAGATTCAATGCAATCCCTGTCAAATGCCCAAATGCCACTGGCAGTTTTCACAGAACTAAAACAAATAATCCTAAATTTTTTATAAAACAACCAAAGACCTCAAATAGCCAAAGATATCTTGAGAAAGAAGAATAAAGCTGGAGATATCATGCCCCTGGACTTGAAACTATACTACTACAAAGCAATAGCAATCAAAACAGTATGGTACTGGTGGAAAAATAGACACTTATCAATGGAACAAAATAGAGAGTTCAGGAATAAACCCACTCTCATATGGTCAATTAATCTAAAACAAAGTAGGCAAGAATATAAAATTGGGGAAAGACAGTCTCTTCAATAATGATGATGGGGAAATGGGACAGCTACATGCAAAATATGGGCTTCCCTGGTGGCGCTACTGGTAAAGAATCCTCCTGCAATACTGGGGCTGCAGGAGACCCAGGTTCAATCCCTGGGTCAGGAAGATTCCCTAGAGGAGGGCATGGCAACTCACTCCAGTATTCTTGCCTGGAGAATCCCATGGGCAGAGGAGCCTGGGGATACAGTCCATAGGGTCATAAAGAGTCAGACCAGACACAACTGAAAAGACTTAGCACACACACACATGCAAAAGAATGAAACTGACAACTTTCTTTCTTTTTGGTGAGAATAAAAGTTTATTGTTTGATTTATTGTGACAGGTGGTTTTACCTAATCGGATACTATCACTAATCTTAAAATTTTGCTATTGTACTAACTGAAAGCAAAACCTCATTTCATGCTTAAGGTTACTCTATTTTTGTTACATCCATGTCATTCTATTTGTTAGGAATTTCATAAAATACCTAGTTCAGTTCAGTCACTCAGTCATGTCCAACTCTTTGTGACCCCATGGCTTGCAGCACTCCAGGCCTCCCTGTCCATCACCCACTCTCAGAGTTTACTCAAACTCACATCCATTGAGTCAGTGATGCCATCCAACCATCTCATCCTGTTGTCACCTTCTCCTCCCACCTTCAATCTTTCCCAGCATCAGNCCATCCCTGGGATTCTCCAGGCAAGAACACTGGAGTGGGTTGCCATTTCCTTCTCCAATGCATGAAAGTGAAAAGTGAAAGTGAAGTCACTCAGTCATGTCTGACTCTTAGCGACCCCATGGACTGCAGCCCACCAGGCTCCTCCATCCATGGGACTTTCCAGGCAAGAGTACTGGAGTGGGCTTTGCCTTCTCCCTTCACTGGGAGTGCCATTGTCTTCTCTGAGAGAAAGCCTGCACAAAGCAAAAAAGACCCAGCACAGCCAAAATATGAAAAATAATTAATTAATTAAAGAATGAGGAGGTGGTAGCCTTTGAAGATAAGAAAGAAGGGTAATTGAGTTAGGGGGCAGAGTGGGAATAAAAGCTCAGATGTGAGAGGGAGGGAGTCTTGACAGGTACTATCCCAAAGAGAACAGTGCTTTCCTCTCTGGGAAATCAGTTCCCTCCAGTTAGGCCTATCATCAGTCTCACCAGTCCCTCGAGAAGCTTCAGTTCTATCATCCCCTGCCCTAGTTCCCTGCCCTGGCCTCAGTCTCCTCCTGATAGCAGGGTTCAATTAGAGAGACTGAACCAACAGTGGGGGATAGATAGGTAGGTAGATAGACAGTCAAACAGACAGACAGGGATTTGACCTTATGCAACTGGTGGAGACATTAAGCAGTCCCTAATATTACTGTCTTAGTGTCTGATGCTGCCACTCAAAGTGCAGAGGGCAGGAAGTTGTTAGGAAGGGAAGACAGATGTAAATGGGGGAAAGCTAGCACAAGCTGGAACAAACTTGCCTCTGACCTTATTGGTATGAATGCCCACAGAAGCTGAAGCTAAACACACACATGGCCTAGGAGTTGCAGAAGTTGAAGGAAGAGCCAGGAGAAGGTGAAACAGTTGCTGATCTGGCTGCTACCCTATGCAAACATGGTGTGCCAGCAGCCAGCCAGGGACAACCTGCATGGCTGGCAAGATGTAAGCAGCCTTATTTCTGGATTTTAGACATTCTAATAGATATGTGGAAGTATTCCATTATTGTTTCAATTTGCAACTCCCTGATGACATCGTGTTGAACAAGTTCTCATGTGCTTACTTGCACTTATCTGTATATTTTCCTTGGTGAGACATCTGTTCATAAATTTTGTCCATTTTTAAACTGGATTATTTTCTCATGGTTGAGTTTTAAGAGTTCTTTGTATATTTTGGGTACAAGTCAATAATCAAATATGTGTTTTGCAAATATTTTCTCCCAATCTGTGATTTGTCTGTTTATTCCTTTAACAGTCAATACTTTCTAACACCCCTTGAAAGGTTCAGAGATCCATGGCAAACGTGCTAATTGCTTTTTTAATAGCAAAACAACCCACAAAAGTTGGAAGGGTGGAGATGTTTGAGAGAAATCAAAACTGTTGAGAAATCAAAATGGTGAAGTAGAAGCTGCTAATCTTTCCTCCAGGAAGCCCATCTGGATTTTACACCAGCCCCAGGCACCCTCTTCTGCATCTCGGCCCATAAGAAGCATTTGAAGCTCAATTCAGCTTCTCCCTGAAATCTTCTATGTCAATGGAGACCTTGTAGTCCCCTTGTTCCTGGAGCAGACTCGGCTGACCCTTGGACATCTCCTTGACTCCTCACACCCATGGAGTCTGTTGATAACTTTGTTGTCAGCATCTCCTCCAAAGATGTCCCTTCTCTTATCTCCCATATCAAGGTCTGTTCCACCTAATCGCCAGCCTAGAGTTCTGTATTTCACCCTTCTACAGCCAGTCAACTTCACATGAGACCCACTCAGGTACCTCTCTACTCAACATCCCTACAGTTGTCCAGCACTGTCCTCAACACCCTCCTCTCCCTCATCCTGCTCCATCCTCTACCCTGGGTTCCCAGCTTTTAGTCTCACCCCACCATCTTTCTCTCCCATTTGTTTATTCAACAACTATTTAGAGATTCAGGCTCTGTATTGGACACTGAAGACTGATTAATGACACAATCATATTGCCTGAGAGGTCCCTGAATGGTACCATTTCTCAGGACCGTGTCTGAGGCTGAGTGGGCTCTCCAGGACTCCAGCCCTAGTATTTAGCGCTTTCTGGGGGCACTCCACAGACCTCTCAAGTTCCTTGACCCCAAAGTGACCCACCCCTGCTGCTTATGTCCTATCCATTCCTACCTGGTGATGCGTCTACGTCCCTCACTGAACTGTAAGCTCCGTGGCATTGAGACTGGGGCTGTCTCAGCCACCAGAGTGTCCCCATCACAAGGTCAGCTCACGAATGTTACGGATTGGTAAGGACGAACAAATACCTAGAAGAAAGCATGCCAGGGAAATATTAGGCTCATGCCAACTGCCCCCGTCCCTCACTCAGACCTGACACCCTGTTTCTGAAACCAAAGGGCAGTAATATTGGCATCCCCTCGCCTGACTGTCATCCTCCTAGGATGAAAGTCCCATTTTGCCAAGAAAATGAAGGGAGGCATTAGGGACCTTTAGCTTCTCAGGGAACAGCTGGTAGTAGGAAGGAAGACGCAAAAGGCAAGCGGATCCCACCGTTCCTTCAAGTTCCTTTCATCTTCGCTCACAGGAATCCTAAGGTAAGAAAGCTGTGGGTCGGCTCTGAGACCCCGCAGAGCAGGAAATCCCCCATCTTCCTGGAGACCGCGGCGTTACTTCCGGCGCGTGCGTGACGTAAGAGAAGGACGCCACACTTGAAGAAGGGGCGGGAGGCAGCGGCCTGGTCACTGTCATGGAGTCAGCGCAGCTAGCGCGGGAACTGGGTTGCTGGGAGGCGGAAGAGATGGAGGTGCCCGTGGCGGCCCGGGTCCCGGAGTCGACGCTGCGCAGGTGAGAGCCGCTCTGGGAGTTAGGACTCCCCACCCTGAAGATGGAATCTCCCGGGATGAGACCCACATCTTCATCCAAAACGCGCCATCCTCCCCTTCCCCCTCTGCCCCAGTGAAAATAACCTTTGAGGACTCTCCTGCCGCAGTGCAATTAACCCTTGAGGGCGCTCCTGCCCTGCAGGTAGGAAATCCAGACAGAGGATCCTATATTGAGTGAGGACGTCCTGGTGGTGACTCCGACACTCCCACCACCATCCTCTGAGGCCACCCAAAGTGAGGTCCCTTGCAATAGTGGGGATCCTCCATGAGTTAGTAATAAGGCTCTCTTTTATCAGTGTGAAAATTGGATCTCCAGGGTAAGGCTGTCTTTCAGTACATCACCACCCACCCCAGCTAGTGAGGACACTCAAGTCAGCAAAAACCACACCATTCAAGACTGAATGTATAGGAGTGATGACCCACAACTGATCATGAGAGGGCCCTTTCTGGCAGTATAGCCCTCACCCCACCTCTGGAAGTAACGAGATAATCCTTTGCCAGGAGAAAGGGAGCACTACACCAGAGAATGAGAATACCCCTACCCCCACTGAGACACCCACCCTCTCAGTGGCTGAGAACTCCCCAGGAGGGAATACCTTACCCTCAGAAGTATGGACCCTACCCCCCGTACAGATGAGAATTCCTTAGTAAAGATCTTAACTCCTCACCACTGTGCTAGTGAGGATCCTCCATCCTGTGTCCCAGGCATACCTTTACATGCTCTTCCCACAGGCTGTGTCTGGGCCAGGGGGCCGACATCTGGGCCTACGTTTTGCGGCACGTGCGCAGCCAGAGGTGAGCCTGGCCACAGAAGGGAAGCTGTGGCAGAGGAGGGGACCCAGGAGAGCCCCACTGTAACTCCCCTTCCTCCTACCTCTCCATTCAGGAACGTCAGGAAGATCCGGGGAAACCTGCTCTGGTAACTGGTCCTCAAAGCTTGATGGAGGTGCCCGTGGCGGCCCGGGTCCCGGAGTCGACGCTGCGCAGGTGAGAGCCGCTCTGGGAGTTAGGACTCCCCACCCTGAAGATGGAATCTCCCGGGATGAGACCCACATCTTCATCCAAAACGCGCCATCCTCCCCTTCCCCCTCTGCCCCAATGAAAATAACCTTTGAGGACTCTCCTGCCGCAGTGCAATTAACCCTTGAGGGCGCTCCTGCCCTGCAGGTAGGAAATCCAGACAGAGGATCCTATATTGAGTGAGGACGTCCTGGTGGTGACTCCGACACTCCCACCACCATCCTCTGAGGCCACCCAAAGTGAGGTCCCTTGCAATAGTGGGGATCCTCCATGAGTTAGTAATAAGGCTCTCTTTTATCAGTGTGAAAATTGGATCTCCAGGGTAAGGCTGTCTTTCAGTACATCACCACCCACCCCAGCTAGTGAGGACACTCAAGTCAGCAAAAACCACACCATTCAAGACTGAATGTATAGGAGTGATGACCCACAACTGATCATGAGAGGGCCCTTTCTGGCAGTATAGCCCTCACCCCACCTCTGGAAGTAACGAGATAATCCTTTGCCAGGAGAAAGGGAGCACTACACCAGAGAATGAGAATACCCCTACCCCCACTGAGACACCCACCCTCTCAGTGGCTGAGAACTCCCCAGGAGGGAATACCTTACCCTCAGAAGTATGGACCCTACCCCCCGTACAGATGAGAATTCCTTAGTAAAGATCTTATCTCCTCACCACTGTGCTAGTGAGGATCCTCCATCCTGTGTCCCAGGCATACCTTTACATGCTCTTCCCACAGGCTGTGTCTGGGCCAGGGGGCCGACATCTGGGCCTACGTTTTGCGGCACGTGCGCAGCCAGAGGTGAGCCTGGCCACAGAAGGGAAGCTGTGGCAGAGGAGGGGACCCAGGAGAGCCCCACTGTAACTCCCCTTCCTCCTACCTCTCCATTCAGGAACGTCAGGAAGATCCGGGGAAACCTGCTCTGGTAACTGGTCCTCAAAGCTGTCCCTTCCTGTCTTCCCCAGCCCCATCCAGCCACATCCCTGCTCCCAGCCTCACACCTCCCATCTCTCCCCTGGAAGTCCCCATCATCCTCTCACTCTGGTCTCATTTCCTCAGGTGTGGCCACCAGGACAGTCCAGAGGTGAGAAGCATGTGCTGCAAGGTTTTATTTCATCCAAAAAAAGGACTTACAGTTCTTCTGCTCTGGGCCCAGCCTTGGGCTGGGTGATGCCAAGGGTCACTGTGTCACAAAACAACCCAATCCCTGCACTCACTTGCAGTCTGGGTGGAGGAGGCGTGAGCTGTGAGTGGGGGGACAGGGATATGAAGCATCAAAGCTGGTGAGGTTGATGGGAGAAGAGACGGGCTTGGGAGAAATGCTGAGGCCAGTATGGGACCCAGCGTGACATCTCAGAGGAGGCTTCCTGGAGACCTCAGGACTCCAGGTGTGGGGCTCCAGGCAGTCCCAGAAGGAAGGAGGGGAACAGGATAGTACCCTGGTGCTCTTCTTCAGGCACTGAAACTCCCTAGGGAAAACCCTGTGCCACATTAACTGGGCAGGAAAGAGACCACTGCCCCACAGAGAGCAGTCAGGCCATGCATCTGACCCTGTACCTGATTCCTCCAGGCCCGCCGGAAGCTGGAGTTGGAAGCCGCTGTTGCCCGCCTGCGGGCAGAGTTCCTGGAGTTAGACCAGAGCCTGGAGCTGATGGAGCAAGAGACTGAGGCTCAGGGTGACCCATGGGGCTGAAGAGATGGGCAGCAGAATGGGGTGAGGGAAAGTGCTGATGGCCACCCCTGTTCCTCTCACAGATATAGCCATGGAACAGAACCTACAGAGCATGCAAGACACCCAGCGCCGTGCTCTCCTCCTCCGGGCTCAAGCTGGGGCCTTGCGAAGACAGCAGCGTGGGCTCCAGGATCCCATGCAGCGACTGCAGAATCAGCTCAAGCGCTTGCAGGACATAGAAAGGTGGGCCTCAGGTATCCAGGGAGCATCCCTCACCAGGCTGGGCATACAGACATCCTTAGAGACCCAGTGCTTTGCCTGGACCCCTTCTGGGTTCTAGAATTCTGAGCTCCACTCCTAAGGATTTAATGTCCATGGAGCCAGGAAGTTTTGCCATCTCAGCCACCTGTTTTCCAGTGCTTAGAGTGGTGCCAGCTGTATGTAGAACGCCAGTGCTGGGGGGAGGAAAAAAAAAAAAACAGTAAATGGGACAGTCCTGCCCTCATGGAGCTCACACTCTGATGCAGAGGAGACAAGTGGTAAACTAGGACACAGACAAATCCTATAATCATAGGTGGAGATGAGCACTATGAAGAAAAGGGGATATAGAAAGGGAGAGGGAGATGCTACTCTAGGTACAATGGTCAGAGAAAACCTCTCTGAGGATGTTAACATTTGAGTTAGGGGAGGAGTTTCCATGGAGAGGAACGGCAAGAGCAGAGCCCCCTGAACCTGGCATGTGGGGGAAACAGCCCAGATGCCAGCTCAGCTTAAATTTTGAAGGCAAGAGGCAGAGTAGTAAGGGGGTAGGTTGGAGAGGTGGGCAGAGCGCTGCGGAGGCGTTGGAGTTGTATTCGGAGGCTGGCTTCATGCCCTGGCTCAACCACTTAGAGCTGTGTAACTGTGGGCATAGTCTAACTGCTTTGTGCCTCAGTTTCTAAGTTCTGTAGAAGGGGGATAATAATATCTACTCTAAAGGGTAGGTATGATAATTGAGTTAAATCACGCAGTGTTTAGAAGTATTCTACTTGTTATTCTGTGTGTGGAAACCCATCACGTTTTCGAAGGTTTTGAGCAAAACAGGGACGTGATCTGTCAGAGGTTTTAACAGGATCGTTGGCTACTGCGGGGTGGGGAAGAGACTGCAGAGGGTAAGAGCAGGGAGATGGATGAGGAGATTAATGTAGTCATCCAGCCAGGAGATGACGTGATCTCATTTGGGGGTTGGCCTCTGAGATCCAGGCTCAGTGATCCCTATGACTGGCTGTGCTGGCAGCAGGAGGGAACACCAACCTCTGTGCTGCCAGCCACCTCCTCCCAGGAACCCCTGCCCCAACTTCACTCCTCCTTCCAGGAAGGCCAAAGTGGATATAAACTTTGGACCCTTGGTATCAGCAGCCCTGGGCCTGGAACCTGCAGTCCTGGTAAGAGTCCTGGGCCAGGGGGCAGAACGGTGGGGTGTCCGGGGTTAGATGGACCTCTGGGCCCCCCTCATACTACACTCTCTTCTTCACAGCACGATGTCCGAACAGCCTGCAGCCTCCGGACCCAGTTCCTGCAGAGCCTCCTGAGTCCTCAGGCTCAGGGAGGCGGCGTTCCGTGAGTAGCCCTTGGCCACCAGAGACCCTGTGAAGAACCTTGTTACAGACACTGTACCTCTGGGCTCTGTCAGCCCCAGGCCCTGCCCTGACAGGGCTCCCAGGCTGGGTAGAGAGGAAGCAGACCTTTAGAGAGTGACGACCCAGGTAGTTGGGGCTCTCAGAGGGTGGGCAAGCCTGGGAGGCTCTGGGTTCCCAAAGGAGACTCCTTACCCAGCTAAGGAGGCAGAGAGGATGGGTGCTTTGGTGAGGAGGGACAAAAGGTTGAGAGGGTGTTCCAGGTAAACTGCACACACGAATGGGTCCAAGGCCAAGGCATTGATATGCTGTTAAGTGGGACGCTCAAGTCTATCTGGTATAGAGGAACCTGGTTTCCAATCTTTAACATGGGGACAGTGACAGCCCCTACCTTACAGAGTGGCAGTGATCACTAAAGGGTGAATTAATGGTTCTTGTAACATTCTCTGTCCTCTTCCCCAACTCCACAGAACCCTGCAAGATGACCACTTTGGAACTTCCTACCAGCAGTGGCTTAGCTCAATGGAGGTGAGGGGCACTCTCAAGAAAGGCTACACCCCCTGCTCCATGATTAAACCTCAGGGTGCCAGGACCTCACTCATCATCCCTACCCCTTCTCCATGGAGTCCCAGCTTGCAGCCCTGCCACCATCCTGCCCTGACTTCACCCCTCTCCCCACCAGAGCCTGCTGACAAACCACCCACCAGGCCACGTCCTCGCTGCCTTGCAGCATCTGGCTGCAGAACGGGAGGCAGAGATCCAGTCCCTGTGCAGTGCTGATGGGCTCCAGGATACGGAGAGAACCAGGTGGGGTGTTGGTGCTCCCAGTCAGCGCAGGGCAGGTGGCTGGGTGATCTGGGACAGGTCAGGACCAGGCAGGGTGACCTGCCAGTGGGAACTGAAGCCCAGTAACCAGTCTGGCAGGTAGGCTGACACTGGTTACCTACAAGGGGACAGGGCTCCCCCCACTACAGCTCAGCCCTTATTCTCAGGTCCCAGGCATCAGACCAGTCAAACTCCAGCCAGACCCTGCCATCCATGGTGCATCTCATCCAGGTAACCCCTCCAGGACCCTTCCCATGACTCCATCCCCTTCCCAACCCAAAACATCTCCATGCCCTCCCTGCCAGGGACCATGTCACCCTGACTTTGTGCTTACTCCAGGAGGGCTGGCGGTCTGTGGGTGAGCTGGTCACCCAGCGGGACCCCCTCCTGAAGGAGCATCAAGTCCTGACCCTGCGCCTCCAGGGCCTGATGGAGAAGGTGGATAGATGTATCCTGGGATCCAGCGAGAGGTGAGGCGTCTCCAAGGGCCATGGCCTCGGCCATGTCTCTCCACGGGGTCTCAGAATATGGACTACTGCACCCTGGCTCCTGTTTCAGTCTCCCAGCTTGCCCTGCTGGGTCGTCTCCCTATGCTTACAGCTCTTTGTGCATCCTTGCGCGTCTGATCTCGCTCCTCTGCTGAGAGTCTTAGTCACTTTCCTTCTCCTTTGCTCTTTTCTACTTGGGCCGCAGGCAGACTTTGGTGCTGGGGCTCCGGGTCTGTGCCCTCTGGGCAGAACTCAAGGCCCTTCAAGCCCTGAGCCAGGAGCTGGAGGAGGCCACTGGGCGTCGGCAGATTCTGCTCCAGGAGCTACAGGCCAAACAGCAACGGATCCTGCGCTGGCGCCAGCTAGTGGTGAGAAGTGGGGCTGCAGGAGAAGTGGCCGGGCCTGCGGCAGACTGGGAGGGAGCCCTAAGGAGCCAGAACTGGGCCTCCTGGTGAGGGGAGGGGGCCTCGGTGAGACTCCCAAGAGGAGTCAGGGCCTGTGCAAAAGGGGTGAGCAGGGGCAGAGGCTGGGAGGTAAAACAGAAAATCAGCCCATCTCCATGGCGTCTTGGTTGCCTAGGAGGAGACACAGGAGCAGATCCGCCTACTCATCAAGGGCAACTCAGCCATCAAGACACGCCTGTGCCGGAGCCCCGGGGAGGTGAGATGGAAGCCGGGGCCAATTCTGGGGGGGGCTGGGCCTCTTCGGGAGGGGTCTACACAGCCTCACGCTGTCCTTCCCATCCCTTTCCTTCCCCACAGGTGCTAGCTTTGGTTCAGCGAAAAGTGGTCCCCATGTCTGAGGCGGTGGCTCCACAGAGCCAGGAGTTGGTGCGGTGTCTGGAGCAGGAAGCCCAGCACCTGCCCCATCTTCCTCTGGGCCCCTTGCTGCAGCACGGCCCCGGAGGGTGAGATAGGGGTTGCCACATACCCTGTTGTGGATGACTGCTACTCCCTGGGCCCACTCCTAAAACACAATCCTAGGGTTCCCAGGCTGCCAGACCTCACCCTCAGCCCCACCTCCAAGTTCCTGGGCCTCTGGAACCTGGCCTCCCTCTCAGTGCCCCTCCCAACCTGGACTTCACTCCGCAGATTGCAGCCCCTCCCTGCAGTCCTGCCATCCATCCACCAGCTGCATCCTGCATCCCCAAGGGGCTCCAGCCTCATAGCGCTGAGCCACACACTGGGGCTGCCTGCAGGGAAGGTGAGTGCCTGTCGCCTCGGACCTGTCTTCCAACCCCGACCTCCGCCCCAAGTGATGATCCTTCCTCCTCCCTCCAGGCTCCGGAGCTGCTCCTCCCGAAGGCTGCCTCTCTTCGGCAGGACCTTCTGTTCCTCCAGGACCAACAAAGTCTCCGACGCTGGTATCTGCTCCACATGAAGACCAGCCTGCCGCCAGGACCATCCACCCAGGGTAGGCTGCCCCACTTCCTTATCCAGCATCCCAGCCCCTTCCCAGCACCTTTAGCCTCCAGAAGAAATCACAAATACCCAATGCTTACACAGTGCGCACTGTGCATTGAGGTCTTTAAGCATGCTCACTAGTGTCATCTGCACAGCATCCCCAGGGGTTCTCTCCACATTACAGAGGAGGGAACTGAGAAGCAGAGGGCTTGCAAGCTGCCCAGGCAGCCAAGCTAGATTTGAACCCAGGCCGTCTAACATGGGTCTGTGCTCCTAACCACTAGGGGACACTGCTCATCAAACTGCCAGATATTCATCCATCATCAAACAGCAGTATACTTGAGTAGTTACAAACCAGGCTGTATAGTTAAACTACTGGGTTTTTTTCTCAGCAATCCCTGTTCCTTGCTGCATGGTCTTCCTCTGCCTCAGTTTCCCCTGAAGTGGACTAGGCATAATCGTATTAATAATACCTTACAGAATGGCTGGGAAGACTCAGTCAGGTGGCCTGAACAGGGTATTGAGCTTTGGCTGGCTGCAGTTAAGCATTCTGTGTCCCTTGTGTGATTCCAGTCTCTGCTATCTGCACATGCATAGTCTCCTCTAGTCCTTACCTTGAGGGAAGGGAGTGTAAGACTACAATTTACAGAAAGGAAGCTAAAACTCAGAAGTCCTTTATTCCTGGATTCACTAAGCAAGTACTCACTTCTTATATGCCATGTGCTAGCCCCTGAGAATTCAACAGGGAGAGAGGCGAGAGCTATCCAGCCCCAGGGTGTCCCAATTGTAGAAGCGAAAAATTCAAGAGAGAAATAGATGGAAGAGATGGCTTGAAGAGAAGTGAATCAGTGTACTATCAGCAAAGCAGGAAGAGACCATCTTCAGGCCTTTGAGTTTTGAGCTCCTTACCACCCCCACTCTTCACTGGGTGAGGAGCAGTGTGAAGGACCAGCAGAAAAAGCACAAGACATGGCACAGCATTGTCTTACCGCATGGGCATCAGGGACTTTTAACACGTCTATAACCGGAACTCAGCTCCCTTTAGTCCAGAAAGCAGTTCTGTTTTTTTCGCTCCTGGTTTCCTTCCCTCAATAAATGACCCCTCCTGCCCTCATGCAGGTGCTAAAGCCAGAAGCCCAGGAGTCATCCGTAATTTTTCCTAGTCCTCTGAACCCCTACCTTCAACCTGTCAGTAAGCCCTGTGGGTCCCCTCTCCAGAGTGCCCCCATCTGCCCCCTGTTTCACTAGCCTGTGGCTCAGATAATTCCTTCTGTCCCTAAGAGGGACCAAAGAAAGGGCAAGTGTCATGCCTGAGGTTACAAGGCCAGGAAAGGGTTCAGGCCCGAAGGGTCTGACCACACTGCTCATCTGCACTTGCTCTGAGCTGGGCTTATTCTGAGAGAGAATAAGCGAGACTAGAATAAGAGAATAAGCGAGAATAAGAGAGACTAGATGAGTCACAGTCCCCAGGAAAGACACCGGTGGAGTGAAGGACTGCAGCAGTCTGAGGAAGCAGCTGGGGTGAGGAATGCTGGGAAGGGCTGCCAGGAGGAAGCATGGTGTCTCCAGTGGGCCTGGGGGACAGGTGAGGCTTTTGCTCCAAAGTAGTGAGCAGAGGCCACATGATGCATTCCTCAAGTACTAGGCTGAGAGCTTGGGCTCGGTCTTGGGGTGCTGAGGAGCCTGGGAGGGCTCTAAGCAGGAGAGGGAAAGGATCAGGTTTAGGCCTTGAGATCACTCTGGCTGCCACGTGAAGGATGGACCAGTAAGAGGCCGAGGCTTGGAGCCTAGGAGGGAGGCTGGGGGACAAGCAGGGAAGCAGGTAGGACGCTGAGGGAGGGACCATGGAGACTGAGGGGGAGGGAGGAAGGTATTCAGAAGGATACCTGGGGCATGGTGGGCTTGCACCTGGTAAGAGGACCTGGGAGGAGAGAGGTTTAGGAGAGATGCTGAGGTGAAGACTAGATGATTGGAGACTTGGTGACTCATTAGTTGCGAGGCACCCGGGAGCCCGAGGATTCAGTGCTGCACCCTGGGTTTCTAACCTACAGAGCTGCTGCAGATCCAGGAATCCCAGGAAAAGGAGCAGAAGGAGAGCCTGGGACAGGCTCTGAAGCGGCTGGAGAACCTGCTGAAACAAGCGCTGAAGCGAGTCCCCGAGCTCCAGGGAGTTGTGGGAGACTGGTGAGAGGGGGACATGACGAGGTGGGGGCTGAACTGGGCGCAACGGGCAGAACTTAGGCCGGGGGAGGCGGTGGGGGGCTGGTGACAAGCAGACCACGGTGTTGAGGGTTGGCTAGTGAGGGTCTGGAGGTCCTAGACCTTCCCCTTTAACCCATCCCCTGCTCCAGGTGGGAGCAGCCAGGACAAGCCGCCCTCTCCAGGGACCTCTGCCAAGGCCTGTCGCTGGCCCAGTGGCAGCTGCGCTGGGTCCAGGCCCAAGGTGCCCTGCAGCAGTTGCGCAGATGAAGAAGTAGCTCAGAAAGAAGGCAGGAGCTTCGCACTTGTTCATCCCAACACGTCACTTCCCTTAAGACCTCTGGAAAAAAGCATTGCCGGGACACATCAGTCCATGGTCTCCACCACACCTGCCGCCCGCGTCCCCGGCTGTTCTCGGTGCTCTCAGTGGCCTTGCCCCGTCCTGTCATTGCTCTAAAGCCAAGATGAACACGATACTATGGGCCCCACCCTAGCTGAAACTCTCCTCATCACTTTTACCCTCAGTAGGAAGTAATCAAGTGCCTGCTGTAAACACTGAGGATCCAGCACTGAAAAAAATGGACAGAAGTCCCAGCCTGCAGGGAGTTGTCGTTCTAGGATAGGAGGACAGACCACTGACAAAATAAGTAAGCAGAATATCTAGTACGTGGAAGAACCGCTATGAGAAAAAGCGATTGCAGAGGTGCAGTGTTACATAGAGGGCTAACAGCAAGGTGACACTGTAAAGGCGGTGGGAAGGAAGCACCCAGGGATGTGGGGAGGGCCTCAGCGGGGAGACTGCAGCGTGCGCAGAGGCCCTAGCTCACAGGCGTTGGTGTGAGGGCCACGGAGGCAGTGTCGCTGTTGGAAGAAGGGAAGGTGTGAGAGATGGGATTGTCTTTGAGTTTTTATAGTTTTTTGGTTTGTTTTTTTTTTACATTTAAATCTTTGAGCCATTTGGAGTTGATCCAAATGGATTCCATTCTGTCTTATTGTAAGCACTTACTAAAATTCTCATTCAGAGCAGTGGTCACCTCTAAGGGAGGGTTAGATGGCAAGGAGGAGACAAACTTTCTAGAGTTAAAAATATATTGTGTGTTGAAGGTGGTGAGGGTTACACAGGTGTATGGATTTGTCAGAACTAGTCTGGCTGTACTCGTTAGGTCTGTGTATTTCACTGTGAACTATCTTCAATTTGTAAAGTAAAATTTTACCCACCTAAACTTTATAAAGTAGACTTAGATATTCTTCATACACTAAATTTCCATGGCTAATTGGGTTGTATTGGTTGTATCTGGCTGTATCCAAGACCATCTGTCTGACTCTTGAGTGCCATCCCCACAGTGTTTTAATTTTAGAGGCTGTGTAATATGTCTTAACTGCAATGACTGGTTGCCATCTTGCTCAAGTCAGTGTTTCCCTGTCTCTACTTGCTGTCTTTTTCTTTTAAATGAAATTAACTTTATACCAAATTTGGCTGGTTCCAGAAGAAATACATAGATGGGAATTTTACTGGGGTTGCAGTTAATCTACCAATTAGGGATATTTGACGTCTTTGAGATTTTAAACCTGACTTTCCACCTCCCTTCCCATAGCTCCTCTCTTGACCTCCAGAGCACCCTCACTCCCAATGCCCCTCCTGTCCCTAGCTGCTCTTTCTCAGTCTTCACACATTTGCTTTCCCACGTGCCACCTTAGTGTTCCCGCTCCTTTGTCTTCTCTTCGTCTCACTTCCCAGTCACCTCCCTACAGAACAAGGTGATCCTTACCGTGTCCTTGCTTAATTTTTTTCTGTAACATAGCTTCTAACGTATACAATTTTAGTTTATCTTTTATTGTCCTCCTCAAACAAAATGTGACCTCCATGAAGGCTAATTCTTCTGTAAACTAGAAGCTGGACAGACTTCCTTCAATATGATTTGAAATCCATATGCAATAAGGGGAAATAATACTAACAAAAAGAGAAAACAAATTTTTACATGATTTTTTTAAAAAAAAGGCCAAGTTAACAAGAAATGACTAATTAGGGGAAAATGTTTGCAGTTTATACTATAAAAGGATGTGTGTGTGTATGTGTGTGTAGTGTCAAAATGGAAAAGAAAAATTCCAAGTCCATAGAAAAATGGACAAAATATATGAATGGATAGTTCTTAGAAAATATGCTCAAACTCAGTAAGAGAAAAGCTAATGAAAACCCCACTTTGCTACATTTCCCACCTATCAGACAGGGAAAAGGAAACCTGTGATTTTGGCAGCTCCCTCTGTCAACAGGGCAGAAGGAAACAGCATTCTGATGTATCAGTGGGTGTGCTATATGAAACACCTGTGAGATAATCTCCAGCAAAACTATATGAGGACATACTCTTTGCCAAAACAATGCTACCTATAGAAATCTATCCCAAAGACGTACTGGGTAAAACATAAGTTGTGGGACTTTGTACAAAACTACTAGATCACATCTTCAGAAAGTTGGTGGGGGAGGGCTACAGAGGGGACTGTTTTTTGGATTAAAGGAGACATGACAGCCAAATGTAATGCAAGATATTGNTCACATCTTCAGAAAGTTGGTGGGGGAGGGCTACAGAGGGGACTGTTTTTTGGATTAAAGGAGACATGACAGCCAAATGTAATGCAAGATATTGATTGAATCACAGGCTGTTGTGATTTTTGTGTTTGGGTTTGAAAGTACACTTTTAAATCAGTGGGGGAAATTTTCATATGAGAAATGGAAAATTGGTATATTGGAAAATGTATCTTTATTACATTTCTTTGTGATAATGGTATTGTGCTTAGGTGAGAGAATGTGTACAAAGTATTAAGGATGATGTCTGCAACTTACTTTCAAGTAGTCTTATTGTTCATAATACTGATTTTTTTATTTTGATAAAAGTTTAAAATTTTGAGACCCAACATCATATATTTTGAAATTATATATATTAGACTAAAGCATATTAAGTATCTATGCTAACATTACTGGGGACCAAGTTTCTAATGCAAGTGAAAAGAAATACAAATATAAGAAGTAATACCCTGTGATCTTTCATTTGAATTGGAAATACCAGAATGAATTCATGGGTTTTCCTCTTTCTTAAACAAACAAAAAATATATATATATATAGTTCCCTAGCTATGTCCACAGAAAAACTCTACATACAACAACCTAGTAATGCTCATGCCTAGGTTGTGGTCTCTAAATACCACTTCTGACTCAAAGGAACCAAGGATCCTTGGGGAAATAACTGATTCTAGTCTGGGGCAAGAAATGTGCAAAATGAGTATGAAGCATTTTGTGCCAGCAGCAAGGAAGTACTCTAAAACTACTGGGATTGAGTCGAGGGACTCAGAAGTCAAAATGAAGAGGTTGTTGATGCTTAGTCACTAAGTCATGTCCAACTCTTTGCGACCCCATGGACTGTAGCCCACCAGGCTCCTCTTGTTCATGGGATTTCACAGGCAAGAATACTCGAGTGGGTTGCCATTTCATTCCCCAGGAGATCTTCCAGACCCAGGGATGAACCTAAGTCTCCTGCATTGCAGGTGGATTCTTTACCTCCGAGCCATCAGGCAAGCCCATTAAGTTTAATACTCTATCTTAATAGAAACTTCACTTACCTTGAATCTACAATTTGTAGTCGGGCCCACATACTTACGCTGTGCTTTTACAGTACCCGGAAGGATGGTGAATTTTGAAGCATTCATTGCAGTAGTTTGCACTACAGTCCATGCAACTTTTTGTGGATTCTTGAGGCGATGGTTTACAAAGGTCACATACTGGCTGTGGCTGCCCTAGCTGCCTGCCATTATCTTTCAACAATAATTTCCCAAGTGAAATTTCAAAACAGACCATTGATTCCCCATTTTCCAAGATCCACATCATGCTCACAACCAGGACAAGGAATAGTCGTCCTAGGGGTCAATGAATCGCACTTCCAGCCTGTGTATTCAGTAAATCTTTGTTTAGTTACATCAGTAGGAAAATGAAAGAAAGAAAAGGAGGGATCATGTTTCGGAAGGATACGTATCTAAATATATGTATTCCAAAACAATACTCAACATGGCTCCATATGAATCAATTTGTGTACTAAATTTTAATGATTTTTCCTTGGCATATGAAAGATAAGCCAAAGCTACTAAATAGTTATTAAAAAGAAATTATTCTATAATAAATCTCATAAAAACCACATTAAATCAAACAGATATGTGAACAAAACATATAATGCAATAGTACACAGGGTCAAGATCTTTTGAAAGTATACAGCTAACCTTTATAGTTATTTTTATATGTCATACCCAAAGGAATTTGACTTGCATTTAAATGAAAACATCCTTGACTGATTGATAGGAACTCAGTTTATACATAGAAGAGCAGGAGTCCTTACCCCAGCCATGGTCCATGGATTGACTCCAGGAAGATTCAAATAGTTTAGTAGACCATTTGAAATTGTATGGAAAATTTTGCATCTATGTATCCATACATATTGGCTAAAGATGGGACATTTTGAGCAGCAATTAGAATAACTTGAAGCACATAAATATGTGTTTGAAAATGTAAGTTTATATTGATATTCATACACATATACCTCATTGGTCCTTTGAAGGGTGCTAGTAACCAACTCATTTCTTCCCTCCTCCCCATAAAATAGGGAAAGAATCAGGCATTTTCTGTCTCCTTTCCTGTTTGTGAAAAAGTAACCCAAGTTCTGAAAAGAGGAAGTTTATAAAAGTCACTAATGATTATAGAGAGAATGATAAAATTTGAAAACCACTATCTTCAATACATAAATGAAGTAATAGATACAGGTGATGATGATCAAGTACTGTTAAAACTTAATGAAAGGGCTGATTGAGCTTTTTTAAATGGATGAACAGGATGACACTGCTGATCAATCTCAGCGGCACTGAAGCAGGACAACCAGACACCACCCGCTCCTGACAGGACACTGGTAGTGGTTTAGTCACTAAGTCATGTCCAACTCTTGGGACCCCATGGACTGTGTAGCCTGCCAGGTTCCTCCATGGGATTCTCCAGGCAAGAATACTGGAGTGGGTAGCCATTTCCTTCTCCAGGGGATTTTCCCAATCCAGGGATTGAACCTGGGTCTCCTGCATTGCAGGTAGATTCTTTATGGACTGAGCTACATGTAGAATTCAATGGCTACTTTATACCAGCACTACTTAAGCATTCTTTTACAAAATTAAACCAAAATCTAATCAAGCTTCTGTCAAGAAAGGGAGAGGGGCCAGTGAGGAACAAGTGAAACAATGTAATCAGTTAAATCCAAAATGTGAGAAATCCAATAGGACAAGTGATCAGTTTCTCCAACAAATAGGGAAAAAAGAGAGAGAGAATCTGGGGGAGAAAGGGGAAAGAAAAAATGGAAAGATAAAGAGGACATTTTTCAGGTCAAAAAAAAAAAAAGACTTAAAAGCTGAAACAATTTGAGCAACAAAATAAGTACTGAATAATAACCAAAAGTATAAGATATCCATGAGTCCATACTGATACAAATGACTTAATAATTAAACGAAGTGGGTAGACTAGACATCCCCTATGCAAGAAAAAGCTTGAAAGGGTTTTTTGTTTTGTTTTTGTTTTATTTTGAATTGAAGGATGATGGCTTTACAATATTGTGTTGGTTTCTGCCATACATCAACATGAATCAGCCACAGTTACACATATGTGGCCTTCCTCCTGAACTTCCCTCCCTTCTCTTACCCCATCCCACTGCTCTGGGTTGTCACAGAGCCCCGCTCTGAGTTCCCTGAGTCACACAGATTACCACTGGCTGGCTGTTTTACACACACTAGTGTTTATGTTTCCATGCTACTCTCTCCATTCCTCGCGCACCCTCCTTCCCCTCCCCCTGCATGTCAGCAAGTCTGTTCTCTAGGTCCGAGTCTATTATTGCCCAGCAAATAGATTCATCATTACCATTTTTTTAGATTTCATATATATATATATATATATATGTTAATATATGATATTTGTTTTCCTCTTTTCTTACTTCCCTCTGCATAATAGGCACTAGATTCAGCCAACTCATAGAACTGACTCAAATGTGTTCCTTTTTATGGCTGAATAATATTCCATTATATATATGTACCACAGCTTCTTTATCCATTCAGCTGTTGATGGACATCTCGGTTGCTTCCATGTCCTAGCTATTGTAAATAGTGCTACAATGAACATTGGGGTACATGTGTCTTTTTCAATTATGTTTTTTTCAGGATACATGCCAAGTAGTGGGATTGTTGTTCATATGGTAGTTTTATTCCTAGTTTTTTTAAGGAATCTTCATACTGTCTTCTGTAGTGGCTGTATCACTTTACATTGCCATCAACAGTGCAAGAGGGTTGAAAAGGGAGGTTTCTTTTTTTTTTTTTAAGTAAATTTATAGTAGATACCTGACAAGTGCTACCTCAGGAGATTAAAGTTAATAATAATCCGTGTTGACAGTATGTACCCTTGATATGATAAGAATTGCACTTTACCTCTATGGTCTCCCACCACCCCTCAAAAAAATATAACCTCAGCCTAATAATGAGAAAAACATCAGTGAGGTCCCAAATGTGAAATATTCTACAAAATACATGACTAGTACTCCTCAAAACTATCAAAGTCATGAAAAAAGAAAGAGAAATTGTCACTGGCAAGAAGAGCTTAAGGAAACACAACAACTAACTATATGTTATGTGTTATCCTGGATGGAATGGTTGAACAGAAAATAGATAAGGTAAACACTAGGAAAACTGAATAAAGTATGGACTCTAGTTAATAATTTTTAAGGTATCTTATTCTCTTATAATATCTCTAGCACATAAGCAACCAAAGTATTTTAACAAATCACTCATTTATGCTGATTCAAACTGGAACCTCCAAGAAACCAAGGCAGGCAGTAAAATTAAGTTTTAAGGGGTGGGTTGGGGGGTGAAGGAGACTGACCCACTGACCAAATGAAACGTGGGCCTTACTTGGATCCTGATTTTTACAATACTATTGTAATATAAACACATTTTGAAGCAGGGAAAATAGAACGCAATCTAGGTGTAAGATGATAGATAGGGCAGTTTCTGGATGTGAACATGGTATTTTTTTCTTTTAAATACTCCTTATTTAATAGGCATCTTATCTGTTAACACATTATGAAGCAAGTACAGGCGAATTGACAGATGTCTTCAATTTGCTATAATGTAAAGCGAAAAAATGTATAGACAAAACAAGAAGGATAAAATTTTAGTAAATTCTTGAGAGGCACGTGGATGTTCGTTGTATTATTCTCTCTACTACTGTGTAGTTTTGAAAATATTCATAAAACATCTTGAGGACTAAAAAAAAAAAAAGCTGTGTCTCAAGCACAAACACCAAAAGTCTACACGTGACCTTCTGAGTTGACATATTTGACTACTGTCCCTTGGCCTTTGCATGAACTATTCATCCTACCCAGAGTCTCTATACTCTTCAGGTGTCACCTCCTCCAGGAAGCCTGGGTCAGGCGCCTCCTCTGAAATTCCCACATCATGGTCCTGGTTTTTCTGGAACTCACTGGTAGCGTGTACGAAAGTGGGCGACCATGGCTTCCAGCTGTCTCCAGCCCCATCCTGCCCTGGGGTGACTGGGATGTCGCTGTGTTTTTAAAACTTCCGGAACGGGTCTCGCGGTGGCACAGGAGGAACCTCCGAACTTCCCGGAGTTCTCAAAGGTCAAGTTTTCACTTTAGGGTCGGGCCGTCTGTCTGGGTTGCACGCCCCTAAACGCAGTTTCTTCCATTGACTCGTTTCTCCGGCACTCTGACTGGCCTATATTTCTCCTTGGGGGCGGGCCCTCTGGGTGTGGCCAGGTTCTCATTGGCCCTCACTCCAAAGGCCAACCCTGTTGACGTAAGGTGTCCTGTATCGGCGCCCGTCGCTTTCGCTGATACGTCATCCGCGGGCGCCAACCCTGACGTAGCCAGAGAGTATACAGCGGAACCGGCGGAGGCGTCTGAGCTGAGGCGGTAATACCGGCGACAGCGACGGTAGCAGCGATGGCCGGAGCGGGGCCAGCCCCGGGCCTCCCGGGTGCAGGAGGACCTGTGGTTCCGGGCCCTGGTGCCGGCATCCCGGGAAAGAGCGGCGAGGAACGCTTGAAGGAGATGGAGGCGGAGATGGCCCTGTAAGGCCCGCGATAGGGAGCGATTAAAGCCATCCTAGAGTCAGAGTCCACGAGCCCTGGAGCCTCCAGGCCCCGATAGACTCGATATATAGTTCTGTCTTGGGGATATGGGACTTTCGGGATTGTGGGGACGAGAGTTAAGGAGGAGAGGTTGGCAGGGGTGAAGGCGCTGTCGCGATATACCCACCGTTTCAGAATTGGTGCAAGGTCCTGAGCTGTGGTGTGTCCTGCCTTCCCAGGTTTGAGCAGGAAGTTCTGGGGGCTCCCGTAACAGGAATCCCAACTGCCGTGCCTGCGGTGCCTACAGTCCCCACGGTTGAAGCGATGCAAGTCCCAGCAGCTCCTGTGATCCGCCCAATTATCGCGACCAACACATACCAGCAGGTACGGCTGACATAAGGCATAGAAGAGAGCACAATGCCTCAGACACAAGTTTGTATACAGAGAGCTGTTGACATGCTGGCTTGTTGATTAATTAGCAAGACAAATATTTTAGGTGTCAGGCAGTGAAGACTCAGTAAGGACTGAGACAATAATTCTGCCCTTTGCAAGCTTTTATTCTAGATCATGGTGGCCAGTAGAACTTTTTGCAATGATGGAAATGTCCTGTATTTATTTAAAATTCGTATTAGAGTTACATAGTTCCTCAGTCTCATTAATGACATTCAAGTTCTCCATATTTAACTATATGTGACTAGTGGATAAAGAGATTACCAAAAGTGAACAAGTAAATGAAATTTGTTCATTCTCTCGACAAATAATTTTCAGGTGCCTCTTCTGCGCCAGGTGCTAATCTCGACCCTAGACATATAGCAGAGAATAAAACAGAAACAGTCACTACCTTTTTGGAGTTTCTATTTTACTGTGGAGAGACAGATTAAAGTAGATTAAGAAAGGCAGAATTTTATCAGCATGGTCAGGAAAGACCTTTCTGGGAGGTGATATCTAAGCAAAGATATAAAGAGCATGATGGAGGGAACTATGCAGATATCTTGGGAAAGAGTATTCCCAGACAGCTGTTGATCAGCAAAGACCATGAGGTAGGTGCATACCTGACGTGTTCAAAGACCATCAGGGAGAGCAGGGTGGCTGGAATGGAGTGAGCAAGGGAGAGGATAGGAGGAGATATGGATAGAGAGGTGATAGAGACAGATCTAGTAGGACCTTGTGGGTCACCATAAGGACCTTGGTTTTTACTCTAGGATAAGAAGCAGTTGAAGGACTTTGAGCAGTGGGGTGATATGGTCCAACTTAGATGTCACCAGGGTCACTTTGGCTGTGTTTAGAAGACAGATTGTAGGGGGCCAGGGCAGAATCAAGCAGTCTGAGGAAGAGGCTACCGTCATACTCTAGGCAGGAGATAATGGTGGCTTGGAGCAGGGTGGTGGCATGGGAGATGAGGAGGACAAGCTGGACATAATTTCAGGTAGTGCTGAGTGCTTTGGGGAAGATGAAGCAGAATGATGAAGTTGCACCAGGGAGGGACTAAGGACACCTTGATCTAGTGTGATCCCAGAAGCCTCTCTGAAAAGTGATGTTTTAGCTGAGACCTAAAGTTTGAGAGATAGCCACACAGTGCAAAGAACAAAACCCTTGGTTCCCAGGTGAGCCTGCCAGGCAGCTTGGGGGCACTGAGTCAGACTCCTCACCCCAACCCCCATCCAACAGGTCCAACAGACTCTGGAGGCCCGAGCAGCCGCTGCAGCCACAGTGGTTCCTCCCATGGTGGGGGGCCCACCTTTTGTGGGTCCAGGTAAGTAAGGAGTGATGGGACAAGGGAAGCAGGGTGGTAAAAAGGGAAGCCTGGGACTCTCCCCTTCCCCCCTCCCCCCCATCCTCATCACTCCCCTCCCAACAGTTGGCTTTGGCCCTGGTGATCGGAGTCACCTGGACAGTCCAGAGGCTCGAGAAGCCATGTTCCTGCGGCGAGCAGGTAGGTCTGAGGCCAGAGAATCCCACATTTCACCAAGCACTCTTGTTTTGACTACTTCACCCTCTCCATTTCATCCCCAAGATATCATTGTCTTTCTGAAGCATAAACCTAATCATGTACTTCGTTGATTTGGCCTTAGTAAGGCTTTATTGAGTCATTGCAAACCAGCCCCTTTATTGTGACTCCTAATCTGTATTCTTTGCTGTTTCTTCATAGCACTTCATGTGCTATAAAGCTGTATAGCCTTATAACAAGTTATACTACTTACTTGTTTATTATGATTATCATCTTTTGCTTCCTCTAAAATATAACATCTGTGAGGGTGCCTGCCATCTTGTAAGCATTACATGCTCTCTGTTGATGGGATGAACAAACCAGACCATTAAACAAGCACCTGTGGTCCTCACCTGACAGTCAAGACCTTACATCAGCCAGCCCCTTGCAGAGAGAGACCCCCATTTCCTTCCCTGGAGCCCCAGACATTGCTGGGATGTGCTAGCAAGGCTCTTGTTGAGGTCCCTTTCCTCTCGTGCTCATTGTCACCCAACTTTTAACCTTCCATACCTATCAACTAAACCAAAATCTAGCTAACCAAAATCAACTAAAATATCTTGTCTCCACAGGACACTCTTACTTCGTGTTGTTGAGATGACTTTTATACACACAGTCAATTTTTGTGACATTAACTTCCTTACATGCAGGAAAAGGATATGTGTTCTGTAATGGTCTGGTGTCATCCCATTAGATCAAACTTGTTAATTGTGTCACTTAAATCCTGATAGACTCTTTTACCTGATATCTGAGGTTTAATATCGCCTATAATTTAGTATGGTTTTGATGAAAGTGTAAATCTGACCTAGTCACCCTGCCCAGCTTCCAGCTCTGCTGTGGCACCCTAGTACTCTCCAGAGAACAACCACTGAAACAGTCTTTCAGCCACCAAGACTATGCTTGGATGCCTGCTGACCTCTTGACCATCCTCTTATGATGCTCTCCAACTCCTGACTTCCCCTATTGGAATTACACTAAACTAAAAAGGGGAAGTGTTTGGTTTATAAAGAGAACTTGCCAGTAATATTTCCAAACTTACCCTTTGCATTACCAGCTCTTCATTATCCTTTGGGTCTCACCTCACAGGTTACTTTCTGCTAGAAGCCTTCTCTAGTCCCACTGGTGTCCCTCTTCTGAGTTCCCTCGGTGCCAGCCTCGGTCACCCTGCCTGGGCTTCCCCCGTCCCAGCCCTGATCAGTCTGGCTGTCACTCTGGTGATGACTGTGTTCTTTCCTGCTTTGGACCAGGAGCTCCCCTGGGGCCTGTGGTCTTTAGGTGTGCCCCAGCATTGCCCAGGACAGGGCCGGGCCCAGAGGAGATCATCAGTGGTACGTGTTTTGCTGAATGAACAAATGAAAAGGACTCTGCATCTCCCAGAGGGTTCCCCAGTCTCTTCAGCAGAATTTCCTGGGTGCTCAGAGCACCCACAGGCACATACCTTGCCCTGAGTGCCCCAGTCCCCCTTGACGCACACCCTCATCTCTCCCACAGCTGTGGCCCCCCAGAGTGCCACTATTCTGCGTCCAGCCTTCGTCCCTCACGTGCTGCAGAGAGCAGGTGAGGGGGCCAAGGTCATCATCCCTGCCACATAACTCCTCCCCAAGTCCTCCAGCTCCCCCACTAACACCCTGACAGATTCTGCTCTTACCTCTGCAGCGGCTGGGCCCCGCCCTATGGCCCTGCGGCCCCCTCACCAGGCCCTCGTGGGCCCCCCCCTGCCTGGGCCCCCTGGACCACCTATGATGCTGCCACCGATGGCTCGGGCCCCCGGCCCGCCCTTGGGCTCCATGGCTGCTCTGAGGCCTCCTCTGGTAAGTTGGTCAGGGAACTGAGGGTCAGGCGCGGTGGACAGAGACCCTCATCCTGGCCTGATGAGCTGTGTCCACCACGTCTGCCTTTCCCCGGCTTTATGTGTCTCTGCCTCTGTCTTCCCCTGTTTCTTCCTGTGGCCATATCATTCTGTTTTTTGCTTTTTTTGAGGGATGTTTAGAGAGAAAACACAAATTATAGGTGTATTTCTCTTTGTGTATCTCTATTTTTCCTTTGATTGTCCCTCTCTTTTCCTGTTTTTATTTTTTTTAGTCCCTGTGTTTGTGTCTCTCTGCCTGTTTCTCTATCCCTGTGTTGGTCTGACAGGAACAGAGACACTGTTCCCTGTCTTGGTGTCTCTTGCTTGCTCTCTGGCCCTGGTGCCCTTGGTCTGTTGTACAGGATAAGGATGAAAGGGAGGTCTGAGCCTGTGATCTGGCCCCCCTCATGCCCTCCTTTTGCCCACAGGAAGAGCCAGCAACACCCCGAGAGCTGGGCCTAGGCCTGGGGTTGGGCCTGAAAGAGAAGGAAGAGGCTGTGGTGGCAGCAGCAGCCGGGCTGGAGGAGGCTAGTGCAGCGGTGGCGGTGGGAGCCGGGGGCGCCCCAGCTGGCCCTGCAGTCATTGGGCCCAGCCTGCCACTGGCCCTGGCCATGCCTCTGCCTGAACCTGAACCCCTGCCCCTCCCGCTGGAAGTTGTGCGAGGCCTACTGCCCCCACTGCGCATTCCTGAGCTCCTGTCCCTGCGTCCGAGACCCCGGCCACCTCGGCCTGAGCCACCCCCTGGCCTCATGGCTCTTGAGGTAAGCAGGGAGCAGAGTAGTAGGGGACAGAATGGGTTGGATGGGCAGACAGCAGCCCCTGGGCTTCCCCACACAGAAACACATGTCATCTTCTGTCCATGGAGGTAGGAGGGACCCAGGAAATTGGAAGGTTTGGGAGAATATGGGGAAGAGGGAGGCAGACACACACATACACCTGACACCCAGAAGCATATCCTGTGCTTTAACTATGGAGACAGGAGAACTAGGGGGACCAAATGGGAGAGCCTGAAGAGGGCAGATGGGCCCAAGAGACTCAGATCTAGCCCTTTGTACCCTTCCTTTTCTCTGTAGGTGCCAGAACCTCTGAGTGAGGACAAGAAGAAAGGGAAACCAGAGAAACTGAAGCGCTGCATTCGCACAGCAGCTGGGAGCAGCTGGGAGGACCCCAGCCTGCTAGAGTGGGATGCAGGTGAGTGGGCGCGAGTGCAGGGTCTGTGCTGCTCAGCCAAGGGAGGTGAACTGGGTAGCTCCACACCTCACTGTAGGCAGCCTGTTAGCCCACCTCCTGGAGAGCCAGACTGTGGCTCAGGGGGCAGGCCCGCACCCAGCCACCGAACAGAACTGGGTAAAGGGGATTGGTGCGTAGGACCTCTGGCCCATTTCGTTCATGAGGTGCCTGGCTTGTTAAAGGAGAAAGACCATTCTTTTTTTTCCCTAACTTTGTGTGAGAAATTTTAAATTTCTCACAGTTGCAGTTAAGTATATATCAACCACCTAGATTCAGCAATTAACATTTTGCTATCTTCACTGTAACCCTCCATGTGTATTTTTTTTTGGTTTTTGCTCAGTCGTGTGAAGTAAATTGTAAATAAGGTTATCACTTCACTCCTAAATACCTTAATATTCACCTCCTAAGAAAAGTAATATTTTCTTTCATATCATTACATGGTTAACACATCTAAGAAAATTATGAGTAACTCTGTGTTATCTCATATTGTTTATATTGTGATTTTCCCAGTTGTCTCCAAACTATCTTCTTATAGCTGTTTTTCCCCTAAACCAGGAGGCATGCAGTTTTGTGTCACTAGATTATCTTTTAAAGAGAATTGTCTCCCTCCCGCTGCTTTGTCTTAGGTATAATGGTTTTTTGAAGTGTTCAGATCAGTTAGTTTATGGACTGTCCTACCCTCTCAAGTTTGTCAGATTACTTCTGCCTGGGGTAAGCTAGCTTGTTCAAGAGTGCCCTCAGTCACCACGGAAGCTGTGAGGCAACCACAGTGGTATCCAAGGGAAGGGGCCTAAGTCCCAGCCCACCCCTTTACTTCTGCCTCTTTTCCTGGGACCATATGCCCACCCCAGGCCAGAGCCATACAGCACTGGCCCAGAGGTGGCTAGGCGGTAGACCCTAATTCTGTGACCTTGGACAAGTCACTCAGCCTTTCAAGCCTCATTTTCCAGTAAGGGGATAATAATAGTATATGCTCATGGGGGAAGGGATCCTTTGAGCTTGAGCACATTTGGTCAAGACCAGGCTCAGCCCAGGAGGTATGTCCAAAAATGGCAGCTGAAGTTGACCTTGGAGAAGAATCAGGCAGTGTGTTCAAGTTTCAGGGACTCAAAGGGGATCAGAGTGGGCTTTGCAGAGGAGGCAGAGCTGAGGAATGATGAAGTCTGCGGTCCTGGGGTGACATTATGGCAACCAGTGGGTGTCAGGGGCCCAGGGAGTGTCCATGGAGAGGTGTTCAGGAGACCAAAGGATGCTGGGGGCTCAGAGGACAGGCCAGGGCTGTGATGACAAAGGTAGGGGCTTCATCACTGGAGTGGGTGAGGTGGGGCAGGGCAGTGCCATTAATTGAAAGTGAAGGCCCTGGAGCCAGATAGATGCCTGAGTTCTTGTCCCAGCTCTGCTGCTTGCTTATTAACTTTGGGCAGGTGACTTGACTTCTCTGTTCATTGGTGTAAAGGGCTGTTGGGAATGCCAGGTATGTGAAAACTTTATGGGTGCTTTGCAGAGAGTCTAGCACAGGGTAAATACTATCCAAGTGTTGGCTGTTATAACTAAGAGGACAGAGGGAAGAGGGCTTGGGGGATGCTCCCAGAGAAGGTGGGATCATTTCAGTAACTGGGCCACACGTGTGTATCCTCTAATCTTCCCTCTCCAAACCCCAGATGACTTCCGGATCTTCTGTGGAGACCTGGGCAACGAGGTGAACGATGACATCTTGGCCCGAGCCTTCAGCCGCTTCCCATCCTTCCTTAAGGCTAAGGTGATCCGCGACAAGCGCACGGGCAAGACCAAGGGTTATGGCTTCGTCAGCTTTAAGGACCCCAGTGACTATGTGCGTGCCATGCGTGAGATGAATGGTGAGTGTGGTCTCCCGTAGGGTCAGTGGGCATGGCAGGCCTCTGGTCTGAGCCTGACCTTGAACCCTGTCTTCCCACAGGGAAGTATGTAGGCTCACGCCCCATCAAGCTGCGCAAGAGCATGTGGAAGGACCGGAACCTGGACGTGGTGCGCAAGAAGCAGAAGGAGAAGAAGAAATTGGGCCTGAGATAGGGTCTGTGGCCAGGCACCCGCTCCCATCCGGCCGGGCGCTGGTTCCTCCCCACAGTTCTTTGGAAAACCCTCAACTGTCTACCCACCCATCCTCCCCAACACCAGTTTCAATAAATTTACGTTCATTTCCATCCTTGGCTAGGCTTGGAAGTACTCTTTGGAGAGCAGGGCTTAGCATCCCCAACTCTGGAGATAGTGGGGAGCCTTGAAAGTTTACATAAACTTGCAGATGGGCGTTTTCAACACTGCTACATGCCCGTTAGATCTTCTTGAAACCTCTTAAGTGTACACTGAGCGCAGCCCATTCCTCAGAGGAGGAAGTAGAGGCTTAGCGCAAGGTCAAAGCCAAGGGGAGGCTCACACCAGTGGTCCTCTGACTGCCTTGTGTTCTCAGCACCAGGGTAGTGGGTCTTCTGGGCCCGGCCCTTCTGGAGCTCAGAGCTTTCCAGGCTTTCATTCATTCATCCACTGTCATCAAGGACCTGGACAGTGTGTGGTACAGTGGTAACAGTGTTCCTAGCTAATGGTTCAGTGGCAGAGATCGGGCCATTGCCAGACAATGACAGCCCAGAGTTATCAGGGTTGGGATGGGGAACCATCCCTAGGAGTCCAGAAAGGCTTCCTGAAGGCACTGGCCATTTCTGAAACTTTCATTCTCTTCCTATTAATATCATTCTCTCTCCTTGTCTCTGCCGTCCTCACCCTTTAGGTCTCTGAGACTGTTTTCCAGTTTCTTCACTCTGCCAAAACCTAGTCGACTTCTGCTGTCTCTTTGAATGTTTATGCCTCCTTCTGTTTCTCTTGAGTCCACCTCTGCTGCTTTTCTCTTTCTAATGTCTCTGAGTCTCTCCTCTTTTTCCATCTGTAAGTCTCTCCACAGCTCCAAGCTTGTCTCTGCCTTTCAGAAGCAAGTGTGCATGCAGGATCTTGAATGCCAGACTGAGAGCTTAGATTTTACCCTGAAGGCAGCAGCCAGCGTGAGAAGCTGGGGACTGTCATCACAGATTTGCACTTTAGAGAAAACTGGGGTTCAGGAAGGAGATTGGAGCAGTGACCAGCCAAAGGAGGGAGATGGCATGGGGAGGGGACAAGGGTCTCCCAGGGGCATAGCCATCAGAACCCCAGATTGGGAGGGGAGAAACAATACCGAGGCTTCTCAGGAAACCAGTCACCCAGGAGAGGTGTCAGATTTCCTCTGTTCCGGTCTTCCTCCCTTACTGCCCACTCTGACGTCACATTTTCCAGTCTGGTTAGAGGGGTGAGGGCCTCCTTTCAATGACAGGAAGTGCCCGTCAGCCCCCTGCCACCTGGCTGGACCACCCAGCTCCAGAACCCTCAAACCCCATCCCCACATCACTGGCCCTTCCCTTCTAAACCCCTTCTATTCACTGCAAGCAAGGGAGGAGGTGCGAATGATTCCAGAAAGGAGGGTTTTAAACATGCATTTTAGTCCCAAGGAGAGAGAAGATCAATGGGAGTGAGAGACAGATGGAGAGAGATGGAGGGAATGTAGTGAGCAGAGACTGAGGGGTGGGGAGGAAGACAAAAAGAGGAAGAAATGAGAGTGGTGGGTCAGAGGCAGTACACAGGAAAGGGAGTTGGGGGAAAAGTCCAGTGAGGGAAAGAGATGGAAACAGATAGGGAGGTAGGGAGACAGATAGGAACACTTAGAGACAGATGGAGAGGGACTGTGGTCCAGTGGTTAGCATTCCACACTTTTAACTTGTCGAGGGCAAGGGTTCAATCCCTGATCGGGGAGCTAAGATGCCACAACCAAGAGTCAGGCCTGATACAACACAGGACACCAAGCCAGGGCAGGAAGACATGGAGAGAGACCAGCTTCAGGGAGAGGAGGCCGCAGGCCTGATGGGGCACAGCAGATACAAGATTCCTCTCAGACCCCCGGGTTAGATGGATGGAGGGACCAATGACTCCTGAGGGCTTTGTGGTTCAACCAACACTGGGTCCAATCCCAGCACCAGCCACCCTCTGTGTGACCTGGTGAGTGGCTCTTCCTCTTGAGGCCGTTTCCTTTGTGTAACACAGAAGGGCAGTGCCCACACCCCCCAGAATGGCAAGTGGGTAATGATCAAACTGGGTGAATGTTGGAAAAGGTCCATATTAAAGAGGTGTTTTTTTTTTTTAATTTTTAACACACAAATTTTTGTATTGGAGTATAGTCAACAAACAATTCGTAGTTTCAGATGAACAGCAAAGGGACTCGGCCATACATATACATATATCCATTCTCCCCCAAACCCCCTTCCCATCCAGGCTGGCACATAACATTGAGCAAAGTTCCATGTGCTATACAATAGGCCTTTGCTGGTTATCCATTTTAAATATAGCAGTGTGTACATGACATTCTCAAAGTCCCTAACTATCTCTTTCCCCCCAGCAACCATAAGTTCGTTTCCTAAGTCTGTGAGTCTTAAAGGAGTTATTTTTAATGATACATATCTACTTATCAATATTGCAGGATGGAAACAAGCATAGGTTCTGATGTCAAGCAACCAGGGTGTAGGGTTGCCAGATTTAGAAAATAAAAATACAATACACTTAGCTAAATTTGAACTTAAGATAAACAACAAATAATTTTCTAATTGTATGTTCCAAATATTGCATGTGTGTATGTATATGTTGCAAGTATACATGGTTTGGTTTTGCTGAATCATTGGAAAAGTTTCAGACATAACACTTCACCCCTAAATAGCTGCATTCCTTAGAAATAGCATTTCATATTATAATAGCATTATCACATCAAAGAAAATGATTCATTCTATATCTCATATTCAGTTCCTACTCAAATTTTCCCCATTTGTCCTGAACTATTATAGCATGAAAGGGCACAGATTCTGGAGATGAGGAAAGTGGGAGTAATCCTCAATTTTCCCTTTCATAAAATCAGGATAAGACTAATACTTACCTCGTAAGGGGATTAAACAAAGGCCCACAGTTTGGTGGTATGCAATGAGCCCCCAGTAAATGTCAGCTATTACTATCACTGTTGTTATTGTTTACGTTGTTGTTACTGTCCTTGGAAGCATCCAGAATGTCCTCCTTAAAGCCCTCGGAAGGGGAGAACTGGGCCTGGTGGAGGATCCCAGGTCGATCTACCCCCACCTATCCCCCACAGGTCCCCTGCCGATTGTGACGTCTGTCGACCAGGGGTCTGGCCGGAAATCCCCCTTCCTGTTGCAGATAAGCCTGGCACAGCCCAGCTGACCCCTGGCCCGCTTCCCCCACCACCTCCCATGTCGCAGGATCAAGTCCCCAATCCCCAACCCCCGCCCGGCTCTTGTCACCCCGGAAACACCCCTTGCACCCTGGTCTCAACCCAGCCTGCTGTTTCCCAAGCTCCCGTTCAAGTCCAGGCCAGCCATGCAGCGGGACAACCAAAGCTGCCTCCCAAAGCTACCCCGGAGGCGGCGGTCATCCCCAGGGCCAGAGGGGAGTGGGGCGGGGGTGACACGGCTTGGCCACGCCTCAGCCCCTGCAACTCGACCCCTACTGCGACCCCCAGCTCTGACGTCTTGGAAAATCCGCTCCCCCTGCTCAGGCCCCCAGGGGAGGGGTGCATAGTATGAAATGGGGCTGAGACCCCCGGCTGGGGGCAGAAGGACCTGCCAGAGGTGAGCCATGAACTGGGGGCTGGAAGACCGGGCATCTGGGGGTCTGGTTTCCTGGGTCTGGGGGTCTGGGGGCCCTCACTCCTGGATCTGAGAGGAAAGGACACTGGAGGCCAAATTTCAGGGCCTTGGGGAAGAAGGGAGCAGAGGCCTGGACTCCTCCTTGTGAGGGAAGCAAGAGATGGGGCTCAGACTCCAGGTTCCCTAAGTGTCACGGGCTCACCCTGTGCCCTCCCCCCCTTTTTTTTCAACCCAGTACATTCACAACGGACATCCATGGACTTGTGGAACTGGGATGAAGTATCACCACAGGAAGTGCCTCTGGGGCACAGGACTTCAGGGCTGGGTAGGTCCCAGGGGCTGGGACGATGTGTGTGGGGTGGGTGCGCAGGTGGGGGCCTTCGCTGAACCTGATGGGGCTCTGTCTAACCTCGCTGCCTACAGAAGGATCTGAACTCAACTTCTATATCCCTGAACTGGCACTCCAAGGGGACACGCCGACAGAGGACACATGCTGGAAAGGTGGCTGTGGGCTGGGACCTCTGGGTGCTGGGGAAGAAGGTGAGGCTGGGCACCTAGGTCTGAGGAAGGGGGCATGCTGCTCCTGTGGTTGAACGCAGAGAGGGGTGTGGTCTTGAACTGCAGAGGTTGAAGGAGGAGGAGGGGACTAGTGTCCCGAGTCCTAGGTCTGAGTGAGTAGGAGCTGGGATTGAGAACTCTCAGCCCCTGACAAAGTCCACTGGGTGAGTGGCTGAGGGGAGTCTCCAGTCACTGTGCACACCCTTCCCTAAATCAGCTACATCCTTATTTCTTGCAGGGCTCCCACGGACAGACTGGAGCTCTACTCCGTACCCAGAAGCTCAATGGGGGGCGGGTGAGTGTGTGCGGAGAAGCGCGGGGGGAGGAGGGGACTGGGGTCCTCCACTGTGACTAGAGGTTTAGACTCCGCGAACTATGAAGGGGAAGGGGGCTAGGACGAGGGACACTGTGTCCTTAAGGTGGTATGACCTAGATCCCGGAGCCTAGAGTCCCAGGCGCCACGGCTGAGAGCTTCGACTCCCAGAACCCCAGAGGGGAGCGGGGATCGGGACACCTGGGCTTCTCTCACTTGGGGTCCATTTGTCCTCGCAGAGCCCGCCCCTCAAGCTCTTCCGTGGCCGGGAGACTGGACAGACCTGCCGTGCTCCGGCACCATCCCTTGCAGCGGTGTTTCCCAGGCCCTGGGTCCCGCCCCTTGGAACGGCCCCGAAGGGGCTGCTGGCCAGAATTACGCCACCTCCGCGGGAAGTGCCAACTCGTGGCCGCGCACCCAGGTCGCCTCCAGCTCCACCAGCTGGGACTATTCTATCGGCCCCGACAGCGCCACCTGCTGGGGCATGAGCCTCGGCGGGGAGCCCTGCGCCGACCCAACCCTTCCTAGGGCCGGGCCTCCGGCCTCGGACTGTACCACCTCCTGGGACTCAGGGCTGCATACGGATTGCACCACCTCTTCCAAGGAGTACCAGAGCTCAGATCTCACCACTTGCTCTGAACCCACCCAGCAGTCGGACCGCGCAACCTTGGCTCGTTACCCCAAAACTAACCACAGAGGTGAGGTCCGCGAGATTTTGTCCGATGGGAGCGAAGCGGGCGTCTAATGAAGCGCTAAGGGGGCGGGACTCAGGAAATTGGCGGGGCTCCGGGGCGGGGGGGGCGGCCTCACTGCCGGCTACCTAGGGAGGAGAGGAGTAAGACACAAGTAGTTTCTAGTGTTTCTAGGGAGCAAGGGACGAGGACCTAGGCTCCTGGGTGAGAAGAAAGAGATGAGGATCTGAATTGCCTGGGTCCCCAAGATGGGACAGCCAAAATTCTAAATCTCCGACATGGGGGCTCCGGACGCCTGGGTCCCCAGGCCAAGTCTTAGGTCCCTTAGATGGAGGAATCCGGATTTGTTGGTCTCCGAGGAGGGGCAGATCCAGATTCCTGGGTCATCGAAGCGACATCATCTGGAGCCAGGAAACCTGAGTGTACACTTGTCCCCGCTCCTCAGGTCCCATTCAGCTGTGGCAGTTCCTCCTGGAGCTGCTCCACGACGGAGCGCGTAGAAGCTGCATCCGCTGGACCGGCAATAGCCGAGAGTTCCAACTGTGCGACCCCAAAGAGGTAAGGCAGTTTCCCAGACCCGCCAAGTTCTGCCCAGGTCTCCCAGGGTTCACCTTAGTCCCACCAGCACTTTGACTAGTGCTAGGCCCCGCCCCCAGCCTCGCCTTCTTCTCCAGCCTGCGGCTCTCCGCCTAACCCTCTGCAGACAGACCGGAACCCCGCCCCCGCCCCACCCATCCACCGTCTAGCCCCGCCCTCCCCAACCCTCTCCCGCCCTTTCGGACTAAGCCCGGGCTCCTCGCTAGGTGGCGCGGCTGTGGGGCGAGCGCAAGAGGAAGCCAGGCATGAATTACGAGAAGCTGAGCCGAGGTCTGCGCTACTACTACCGCCGCGACATCGTGCGCAAGAGCGGGGGGCGCAAGTACACTTACCGCTTCGGGGGCCGCGTGCCTGGTCTAGTCTATCCCGACCTTGTGGGAGGCGGGCTAGAAGCAACGACCCAATAAAAATACCCAATCAAGTCTCGTTGTGCTGTTTGCATCCTTCCCACTGATACAAACTACTTCTGCTTGGGAGCCTGTGCGCACCACCACAGCCACATCACACCCCCCGCCCCCGCCCCCCCAAAACCCCATGTGATCCCAGGAAAAACGATGACTAAAACAGACCCAAAACCCTAAGGGGAACTACTGAGTACCCGCTGTGTAATGGGACATGCAGAGGTTTCAAACTCAGTCCCCACTGCGCCTGCCTTGTGCTGGGACCTGCACAGGAATCAGACCCTATCACTAACTTTCCAGTTTACCTACTGTTCCCCTCTTGAAGAGAAGGCTTATATTCTTTAAAAAAGAGCCTACTGTAAAAAAAGGGGGGGGGGCCTACTGTGTGCCTTCCCAGTGCTAGGGACCATCAAGGAATTAGACCTAGTGCTTGCCCCCTAAAGGCGTCTACTCCAACCCACGGTACACAGAATTCATACTCCAAGGAGAGCCTACCTGGATCGGGGAACTACTGAGCCTGAAAGAGAGCTCATTAAGTGGTCCTCCTGTGGGCCATGCTGGGGACTTAGCACTGACAAAGACAACTCTGGACCTTGCCCGTAGGAGGTTCACAGTCCAGTGAGGAGACAGAACCCCCCCCCCTCGCCCCCACCAGACAGGGACAGCCCAGAGTGGTCAAGACTGGGTTGGGGGAACTCTGCAGGGGTAGAGGTGGCCCTCAAAGAGGGACCTGCCCTAGCCTGAGGCGGGAAGTTGGGGGTTGGTCAGGGAAAACTTACTGGAGGAGAAAAATAGCTGATTTAAGAAGTCAGGTAGGAAAAAAAAAGAAGTCAGATAGGCAAAGAAAGTTCCAGTCAGAAGAAATCAAAGGCCTGGAGGCAGATCTCACAGCACTGTTCAATGAATTAAAATATCAGCGTAGCTGGAGAGGGGACCATGAGTCAGTTCACAAAGTTCCAAGATGAAGGGCCCATGTGGGCCAAGGTAAGGGGCCTGGACTATGTCCTGAGGGCACAGGGGAGCCAGGGAGTTTAAGCAGGGAAGGGATTTGGGCTTCAGGAAGATCACATCGAAGGGGGTAATGAAGGTACATAAACAGGCAGCTCCACAAAACATTACAGCATTGAAGAACACAGAGCATAAGAAGCTCCCAACCCAGCTAGGCCTGGACACTGCACTCCCTGCACCCACATGAGAAGCTTTGGAGGCCAGACTGAGGGGAGGGACAATAACAGTTCTCTTTTTTTTAAGGTCGAGCCACAGTCTTTCATGGCTTCCTCTTCCAGTCTCCAGAAGCCCACTTTATTCACACAAAAAACTCACTCATTCCACAAATATTTATAGAGTAATCATACTATGTACCAGAAATGAAGTCGTAGAGATACAGTGATGAGTAAGAGACAAAAATCGCTCCTTTATGATGCTTCTATTATATTGAGGGAAACAAAAAGAGAGAGAGAGAGAGAGAGATAAACAATAAAAGGAAGTATATAGTAAGTTAGAAGATAAGTGCCTTGGAGAAATAAAGTAGGGAAGAAACTGACAAGATAGCAATTTTAAATATTTGGACTAAGAAGAACTCACTGATAAGGTGACATTTTAACAAAGACCTGCAGGACATGCTGGAAGGAGCCAGCTGAAAGAAAAGCACTCCAGGGCAAGGGGACAGCAAGACCCTCGGGGAAAATCAGCTTGCAGGTTTAAGGAACTGCTAGGAGGCCAGAGTGGCTGGAGCAGCAGCAGTTAGAGGAGATAAGGATCTGGTCCCATCACTTCCTGGAAAATAGAAAGGGAAAAGTGGAAGCAGTGACAGATTTTATTTTCTTAGGCTTCAAAATCACTGCAGATAGTGACTTCAGCCATGAAATTTTAATTTCTTTTAAGTCTTTCAAGACACTTTCTCCCTTGATGGAAAGCTATGACAAACCTAGATCATATTAGAAAGCAGAGAATTGGCAGACAAAGGTCCAAATAGTCAAAGATATGGTTTTTCTAGTAGTCATGTATGGATGTGAGTGTTTGTGTGTTAGTTGATCACTCATGTCTGACTCTTTGTGACCTCGTGGACTGTAGCCCACCAGGCTCCTCTGTCCATGGGATTCTTCAGGCAAGAATACTGGAGTAGGTTTCCATTCCCTTCTCCAGGAGATCTTCCTGACCCAGGGATCAAACCCTGGTCTCCCACATTGGAGGGAGATTCTTTACCATCTGAGTCACCAGATGGATGTGAGAGTTGGACCATAAAGAAGGCTGAGTGCCAAAAAATTTATACTTTCAAACTGTGGTGTTGGAGGAGACTCTCGAAGAGTCCCTTGGACAGCAAGGACAGGGTCCCTCTGGCTGAGTGACCTGATTGCAGAGGGCAGCAGGGAAGCTTAGGGGTCAGGGAGTGGGCCACTGCAATAAACCAGGCTGCAGGTGCCAGTGACTTTGAATCAGAAGATTCTGGACATATTTTTAAGGCAGAGACAACAGCATTTCTTGATTGATCAGCTATGGGGTATGAGAGAAAGGAGTCAAGGACATGTCTGTAATCAGAAGTTGTCATTTGCAGAGATGGGTCAATTTCTGCTAGACACCTCACAGATCCAAGATAAAGTCACCCAAGAGTGATTTTAACTCTTAACCTCTCCTCTGTGAGGCAGGAATTTGGTTTCTGAGCTCTCAGTCACTCAAATCTTTGTTAATTTGTGCCCTCTAAGGTTTGGGGACATGCGAAGAGTCGACTCATTGGAGAAGACCCTGATGCTAGGAGGGATTGGGGACAGAAGGAGAAGGGGATGACAGAGGATGAGATGGCTAGATGGCATCACCGACTCGATAGACATGAGTTTGAGTAAACTCCGGGAGTTGGCAATGGACAGGGAGGACTGGCTTGCTGTGATTCATGGGGTTGCAAAGAGTCAGACATGACTGAGCGACCGAACTGAACTGAACTGAAGGTTTGGGGAAAGATAGTAATGAACAAGGAGGTGGAGTCTGGGCACCCTCATAGCGTGACAAACGACCCTGGGAGTAAAAAAATGATTTGTTTTCAATCCCCTAACAATTCAGTTCAGTTCAGTCACTCAGTCATGTCCAACTCCTTGCAACCCCATGGACTGCAGCACACCAGGCCTCTCTGTCTATCACCAACTACCAGAGTTTACTCAAACTCATGTCCAATGAGTCTTGAGTCGGTGATGCGATCCAACCATCTCATCCTCTGTCATCCCCTTCTCCTCCTACCTCCAATCTTTCCCAGCATCAGGGTCTTTTCAAATTAGTCAGTCCCTCAAATCAGGTGGCCCAAGTATTGCTTGGAGTTTCAGCGTCAACATCAGTCCTTCCAATGAATATTCAGGACTGATTTCCTTTAGGATGGACTGGTTGTATCTCCTTGCTGTCCAAGGGACTCTCAAGAGTCTTCTCTGACACCACAGTTTAAAAGCATCAATTCTTCAGCGCTCAGCTTTCTTTATAGTGCAATTCTCACATCCATACATGACTACTGGAAAAACCATAGCCCTGACTAGACAGACGTTTGTTGGCAATGTCTCTGCTTTTAAAATGCTGTCCAGGTTGGTCACAACTTTTCTTCCAAGGAGGAAGTATCTTTTAATTTCATGGCTGCAGTCACCATCTGCAATGATTTTGGTGCCCTCAAAATAAAGTCTGTCACTGTTTCCACTATTTCCCCATCTATTTGCCATAAAGTGATGGGACCAGATGCCATGATCTTAGTTTTGTGAATGTTGAGCTTTAAGCCAACTTTTTCACTCTCCTCTTTCACTTTCATCAAGAGGCTCTTTAGTTCTTCTTCACTTTCTGCCATAAGGGTGGT